AAATTAAGTACGTTTGAATGAAATTTCGAACCGTTGAATAAAATTACTGCTACAATTCAGCAGCTACTTGGCATCCATTCTGATTTATGGAACAATCCATTTAGTTTAAATACAGCATTTCAAAGTGTAAAACATTTCTGGTTAGTAACTCAGCTTATTACTGTTTTAAAAACCTTTTAAAGTCGGTCGAGAAAGTTGTTTAAAAATAAATTTAAAGCAGCTCTCAATACCTCTGTTCTGTAAATCAATCATAAACTTCCCAAGTAAAATTTTAAGTTTTATGAAATACTACTATAAAACAATATTCATAAAACCCTGGTCAAAACTGATTTTCCATTGATGCATCCACCAAAACCTCATTGATGCTAGAATCTGTCTAGTTGGCCGACTCTTGAAAAGGTTCTGAAGGGTATATTTTCGAAGCTCTTCAAGATTGATTTACGGCAAAAGGTTTGTACGATCAACGCATTGAGATCTATTTCAAACCCGTATTTAAGCTTCGATTAAAGCTATTTGGCAACAATTAAAACCATTATCCAAACCATTTACCCTAGCTGCTTGCTAAGTTTACTAGAAAAACAACAATCAAGATACAAAAGGATTCATAAATACCAACCGATCTTATCAAAATAATTAAAATAAAAACTGGTCTTAATAAAATCCTGCCGAATTTCAAAAATTATATTATAGTTCTCATGAAATGGCCTAGTTTTAGGTGTCCCATAAAATTTGATGTGAAATGTACGTGAAAACATCGAAAAACTTGAGTCCGCCCACGGAAAACATCGATTTTACTAATTATTTAACATTAATAAAAGCAGATCGATCATTAAGCTTAGCCAAGATTTTTATTTATCATGATTTTTGAATTCTAAATATTTTTTCATTGCTAAATTAACTAAAATAAAGTTAGAAATTAAGATTGAAAATCGAAGATTGTAAAAAACAAACAAAATAATTTTAATATGGCGGAGACATAAAAGTTGATTTTCATGGGTCATTTGTGAAAACGTTATTTTGCTTTCAAGAAATCCTTAACAAAATCATAAGGTTTTTAAATGGCGTTTATGAAGAAAACTTGTAGACTGAATTGTATTTATCTAAAGGCATTTTGCTTGATCCTAATCCGTTCAGATTTATGGCAGCATTTATGGCGGCAATGTTGCCTACAAAATGTTAAACGTCAAAGTTTGTTTATCTTTCGATAGTTGCGCTGTGCGATTCAGCGTTCTTCCAGGCGGTTCTCTCCCGATGGCTTGGAAGCAGTTACTCAGAAAGTGTTCACAACATATCGCATTTCGCACAGCTATAACCTCGATCATTCCCGAAAAGATCCCTTTCTTCCGGATGGTTCTGGAAGTGCACCATCAAACGATGAAGGAATGTAGGTTGAATGAATTTTTTCAAGTGATGATCCTTTCACTGACTAAAATCGCAGCTATGGATCGAAAACCAACTAGTGTCCGCTAACTGACAGTTTTAGTGGTTTGCTGTCGGTGCTGACGCAAGTTATTCCGATCTTCCTCTATTCGCAAGGTCTGGAGAAGGCTGGTCTGTTTTCAGACTGTTTTGACAATGTTTTATGAATTTGAGGACCACGCTCACTTCACTCTTCTCCACCAGATGCTCAGTCGTTGATGGTACCCGTTCCGCCGGACGTGCTGGTTCTTGTAAAAAACTAAATTTTACTGAAATCGACTTCCCTTCGGTCGTTAGCATCGCTTGAATTTCTCCTCCAACTTCTTTTATCCTTCGAGATATCCTTGTCATAAATTTGGTTTTTATTCACTATGAGGATCCATCCTTAAAGTTCAATTTGTAAATAGCGGTGATTTTATGATACACTTTTAAAAGCCTAAAAGGCAACAATATATGCATTTCACTTTCATTTAAAACCGAATGGCTTAATGATTGCTTTTATAATGATAGAACAGGTTTATAGAGTATTTTATCAAGACATTAATAAAAAAATGCTAATGAAGTTTATGATTGATTTTTAGAACAGTTTTATGGTGGGATTGAGAACTACTTTAAATTTAATTTTAAAACAAAACAGTTTTTGACTTCTCGCCAGACTGTAAAAGGTTTTTAAAACAGAAAAAAAGGTGAACTACTAAGCAGTAACGTTTAACACTGTGAAATGCTGTATTTAAACTAAATTGATTATTTATTCTTATTATAAAACCATCATAAATCAGAGTGGATGCCAAATGATTGCAGAATTGTTACTTGGGTGAGACCTAAAAAAATAATGTATTCGATAAAATTAATCATAACAATGACTTAATAAAATTGAAGTGCTGAAGGACATATTCGAAACAGGCTGTTTCGAATCTAGTTGAGAGAAGCATGGGTTTTTCATTCACGGCCGGTTATTTAGATGAATCTACAGCTGTTCTAACTAACGCTTTGAAACCGTGTACCAATCAATCAGTTGGGCACAAGTTTGTTGCTTTGAGATGCTTGAACAGCTGGTACAATTTGGATCATTTGCGCCTTAAACGTAAAATGGACAATGGTACAACAAATATTGCAGATCAAATAGTGATAATCATCGGAATAGGCGCACAATCGTGCGTAATAAATACGCACAATCGATAAAAAAAAATTGGTTTTGAATATGTCCAGAGGAATATTGATCAGCATCATAACTACAGCAAAGAGATCTTGATAAGATGTTCATTCTTCTTCTTCTTCTTCTTCTTCTTCTTCGCATTTCAAGCTTATTGCATATCGCATATTAGCTTATTGCGTGCCCTCAACTTAGTGTTTTAGATGCACTTCCACAGTTATTAATTGAGAGCTTTCGATGCCTGTACCATTTTTGCATTGATATAATTGTGTAGCAAGTCCAATCATACTTCTATGCCCAGGGAAGTCGAGAAATTTTCCAACCCGAAAAATTTCTAGACCGGACCGGGAATCGAACCCAGCCACCTCCAGCATGGTCTCGCTCTGTAGCTGCGCCTTTACCGACTGAGCTAAGGGAGGCCTAGTAAAACTGGTTACAAGAAAATCCTTGGAAGAGAACTTGTCAACATTTCTTAACAAATCAAGCTGAACAATGTATTAGGTCCTAAGTAACAATGACAGATTCTCTTCTTAGATTTTCTCTTTACATACTCATGGCCATGTTGAGACATTCCTAGCTATTTTCAGCACACAGATCGACGAAAGAAGCTATTATCTAGCTTCTAATACGACAAACACGTCAAGAAACGGTTTTGCACCCAAGGTATTAACGAAAGAGAAAGTCCACGAAGAGAACCGATCAATGTTACTTAGGACCTAATGCAATGTTCAGCTTGAAATGTTTCCATGTTGAGCTCAAATGAAAGGTTTTGTGCCTTAATTAAATGCCTCGGTTATGTTGTCGTGAATATTGATTTATCTCTAATAACTCTCTATCACTTCATCCACGTTCCTTTTCATAAAACGACAATCAACCACCGCATGGAGACGCGTGGTGCTCCACACAGTACCAACACCTTAGCGAATGCACGGTCGATACATAAATCACGCATTCACACTCACCTTTGCTATCTAAATAATTCACTAAAATCAAATTACTTCATCAACCAGAAACTTTTGTTTACCGTCCGTAGTCGTGGTGAAATTTATTAACATTGTGTAAACACAGGAAATGCTCGCATGACGTGGATTATTACTGTTTGTCTACACTACGCGATAGAGTACGCTAGAACCATACAGTGTCGCCATCGGTCAGTCATGTTTATCATGCACAAACCTTGGCATGACCTACTAACTGCTCCAGCACACGGTTACTCATTCCATTCAGTGTCGGGTTGGGGCGTGGCATGCCAGTTAGATGTTTATTTCACCGGCCTAACCGCAGGTGAGCTTTAATTGATTGTTCCATATCCGACCTGAAGCCACGCGATAATTCCAGAGGGCTATTCACTGAAACTAGAAAACCGTATGCCTGGAAGTAGCTTCATGACGTGGTGGTTAAGGTGTTTAAGTTTAGAGTGAAACGACCGGGGCAACACCGAAACTGGGATGATCTATTCCCATGCTGCACCGATAGCCGCACACGCAATCAGCCCGTAGGAACAGTAAATTTAATCTATCGACATTGACGTTTGGTCTCCATCAGGAGTGCCAAGTGAACGGGCAAGGTCGGCAAGAGTGCTTAACGCGTCCCAGTGGACATCGAACGACGGTGACGATGACGGTCGTCAGTTCAATTCATTTCGCACAATTTGCCAATCACCAATCAATCAACTTGATATGTTGACTCTCACGTCGTCGGGGGTTTGTGGTTCCGTGATGGCATCACTGGATGCATTCCTCGAGAAAGGTATTCACTTGATGGCATGCGACAGGAGCTTTCAAATGATGTTTTATGGTACTTTAGGTTAGTGTTTCTTCCTTAATAGATTCCCTTAAACAGTAGCATTTTCCATGAAAATCTTGAAAGCAACCCCAACTCAACCGTAAGCCACAGCTCTACAGTTAGCAAGTTAAACATCATAATCCACTTGTCTTGCGTACACAACAAAAGTACCTCCCGATAATTGCATTGTTTGATCCGTTATAGGCTATTGATTGAAGCTCAAACGATTTATGATTCATCCATCGGTTGCCCGGTTGCACAGTAAAAAATAAATTTTAATATTACATCCAAGACGACGCACTTCAATCATATCGAAAATCTCATGTAATTTGTATGGCCATAACAATAAACAAATGCAGTGAGAGCAGCGTAATTTCAGTTCAGGCACTGTATTAATGATAATTTTTCCGTTTTGGCAAGTAAAATTACACCATATTTTCGACACGGTTGAAGTGCACCCACATTGATTTGATATGAAATTTATTTTTTACTGTGTGCTTGACGGAAACCGAAGCTATAAATGACGACAATTTTCTAGCTCAATTACGATAGATTCGGTTCCACCCCTATTCGCTCGTATGTCTTTGTTTGCAGCACATGCTTATATACGTAAACATATAGGTTTATGAAAAAAGATACTCACCGCAGGAAGAACTCGATTGAAAACCATATGACTACGATAATTTCCATGACGAATAAGATGGCGATTGCTTGTTCCTCGTATTCCTGAATAGTTGAGAAGACACTTAAGGCCAAACATGTGAACACCATGAAGAATCTGTTGAATAGAACGAAAAAAAAAGCGAACGAAGAAGAAGAAAACGGGTTAGAGTAATGCTCGTAATACAGGAAATTAGTATATATTCTTTGCTTCTTGGCAAGTTCCTTCCGTGAGTGGAAGGATTGATAGTAAAAGTGGACAGGGAGCTCCATGAGTTTGCGACCTTGACCAAAGCAATTTGCGAGCGATGTCGGGTTGGTCGTCGTGAAAGTGTGATTAGAAGTTGGTGTATTGGACACTACAGTCATCGTCGTCGTCATCGTGGTCATCAGCTGTAATGGCGAGGCGAGTGCGATGTCAGCTTTTCGTTGAAGTGAGTTGGTTCTTTGTGCTGCGAGGATAGGCAGGATATTTATTTCCCTTTGTTCTGTATGCGAAAAGCAATGTATAGCACTGATATCGGAAATTATTGCGAGTCTTTATTGTGTGAGGAAGTTGACTGTCCCACTCGGAATCGATAAGGCGATTATTTAATTAGGAGGGTTGAATGGTATCAAACTGAATCGATATGAGATGCGTTATCATGTCAAAGTGCTCTAGGACACTAAGAGAAATCGGTTCGCCAACAAATGCCCGAATAAATATTTTCAGCTTTGAAAGTTTCTGGAAATATTCTTAGATACATTTTAGAACTGAGGAAATTTTCGGAACTACCTAACTCAATGTTAGAAACAATCATTATTGTGGGGACCTGTCAATTTTGGAAAACATGCTTTTGTATATAGAAACTAACAAATGATCCATATTAATTGAAAATTGCTCCTTTAAAAACACCCAAATGATCCATAGAATTCCGGTGAAAGTTCTTTTCATATAATGCGTTTATTTTTTCCAGGCTCATTTGCCGTAGCTTTGCAGAGCTGATATTCATTATTTAGATTACAAAATCACTTAAAACTGACGTTAGTAAAGCTTAGGTCGATTACTCGCGGCTATCTCGAGGTTAGGGGTAACAAATTGTAACAAATTGATGGCAGGGTAGGGATTGAGAACTCAAAGTTTGGAGAGCAATGTGCTCTTGATCTCACACTAAGCGACATACTGATGAAAAAGACAGACATGGGGGTACACCGATGGGGAGCTAACAACTTGGGAGAACATAAGATGACACTATCTACCAAATCCTCAGATCTATCCGTTTTAAAAACACATAAATAAAATTCCAATAGTCGAGATTTCGGTTCACCAAGATGTCTCTAAGGTTGTTTTCCTCGGGCCGTGAGGGATGTGGATAACACGGATCTAGCAACACAATGGAGGGTGCATGACCAAAGCACGTGGTCCATCTTCGAATCTAACGAGCAGTTATTGGACATGAGCCTCGACATGACACGAAAAAAGTCACGGCTCTTGTCCAAACCTTTGAACCACGGCTTCTTCGACACCTGTGGGAGAATAGAATGTAACCATCTTCCCAGATTTCTCTCATTCCATTTTTTATTTTTATTTTATTTGTTTTTCTTCATCGGACTTAACGTGCCTAAATGAAGCCTGATGGGGAAAAGCCTAGAAAAGGCGTAAACACTCCATATCTTTTCGAAATACATGAATCACAATAATACAATATAATTACAACGAACATTAATCAAGTCTATAGCATAAAAAAAAGTTATCCTCCTATGGCATAGAGCTGTCCGTGAAACAAGTAGAAGTCCTCGTCATGCAGTTGAACCGGAAACAAAAAATAAACAGGTAGCATAATCTTTCACGTGTACATTAAATGGACAGCTACTCACCTTCTCAGGAGTCTGCGTTGAAAACGGTTACGAAAGGTTTCCGCTGCACAGTTAAAGTCGAAAAACTCGTAATACTCGTTGAAACTCCCAGACATGAACCGTATTGGGTCATGCAAGCTGTAGTTTGCAGCACGAGGTCCAAGATGCAGGAAACTCCTCGACCGAAGAACTCGTTCGGGTGCGTAGATTTCGAATTCAGCCAAGATTTCTGGAGAGTCGATATCACCAATAAGTACTTTCGCTGCGAACACGGCCTGACTAATCGTCCGCCTATGTTCTAGTGTTCCAAGACCCAGGAGTTAACAACGATCTTCGTACGGCGGAAGGTTCACAGGGTCATTCCAAGGAAGGTGACGAAAGGCATACCGAACAAATTTCCTTTGAAAAGATTCAATCCTCTCTATCAAAATTGCTTGATACGGGCACCATACTACCAAGCTGAATTCCAAGATCGGTCGCACTAGAGAGCAGTATAGAGCTTTCAGACAGGCAGGATCGCGAAACTCGTCAGCAATCTTGAAAATGAACCCGAGTTGCCTGTTAGCTTTCGCAACGATGCCCGAGTAATGCAGTTTGAATGTTAAGGCGCAGTCCAGCGTGATTCCTAGGTCACGAACATTGTCCACACGTTGCAGAAGTTAGTGATTTATCGTATAGTTGAATGCCACTGGTTTCAGCTTGTGATGAAATGAGATAATATTACATTTTTGTACATTCAACGTGAGATAGTTTCTTGAGCACCACTCTTCGAAAGTATCGATTAGGTACTGAAGCCGCAAGCAATCGGCGAAGCTACGAACAATAACATAGATCTTCAAATCATCCGCGTAGAACGATCGGCAACCAGTTGGGAGGATCAGTCCGGCCTCATTCACAAAAATCGAGAATAGCAATGGTCCCAAGTTGCTACCTTGAGGAACTACCGGAGCTGTTTGTAAAATAGTCCGATTGCTCTGATCCGATTCTAACACAAAGTTCCCGATTGGTCAGATAGGACTTGAAACAACGAGTAAGCCCGAGGATACACCGAGTTTTTCAAGTTTAGCTAGCAGTATGGAGTGGTCAACCCGGTCGAATGCAGCCTTAAGATCTGTATATACAACGTCCACCTGCGCTCCAGCTTCCATACTCCGAAGACATAAAGAAATGAACGGAGCTAGATTTGTTGAAACTGATCTTTTGGGATAAAAACCGTATTGGTCAGGAGAAATATAATTTCTGCAGCTAGAGAATAATGCGTCGTTGATGATGATTTCGAAAACTTTGGAGCAGGCACTGAGTGATGTGATCACTCGGTAATTTTCGACGTTTCTCTTGTCTCCTTTCTTGTAGATCGAGAACATGAATGACGATTTCCAACGCGTAGGGAACTTCCCCTGCGGTGTTGTACGCTCTGAACAGCATCGCAAAAAAAAAATAAAAATGTACCGTAAGATTTAATAAAGAGAAACCAATCGTTGAGATATTGTCAAAAGCCTAACACTGCTTCTTGACACCAAACTCGGCCTACGGATTCTAAACTGAGCCTAACGCATTGAAATGCTATTAAAACGCCAATGAATTCACTTCGGCCTACTGGATGAAGATAAAAATCGATTCGGTCGGAGCGCTTCTTTTGTTTTTGGGAATAATGGGTGCAAACCTTCATATCACGCGTTCTCATTGACATCGTTCCGTAGCTTATTAACTAAAGTATCGTACCAAATGCATAACTGCTGGTTAACTCTGAAATCATGGATTTATTATCTCGATAGGCCCAAAATGGGCGATTAGGCCGAAGTAGTTCTCTACCCTAATTGAAAAGAATTCCGTAAAGGCGATTCGACGATCAAAAATATCGCCTTCCATAGCGCCCATTTTAGCCAACGAGTCCACTTTCTGGTTACCCGGAATAGAGCAATGAGATGGGACCCTGACTTAAGTGATGGTATAGGAGCAGTTAGATAACGTACTCAATTTGGCTCGGATTTCAGTCAGGAAATACGAGGAGTACTTCATCAGCCTCATAGAACGAATAGCCTCCAATGAGCTAAGACTATCCATAAATAAATAAATAAATGGTCAGAAGGTAGTGGGGCAATTTGCAAATCCAGTGGAAGCGTTTTTAGTTGACCCATCTGTGAAAAAAAAACTCCTATTGTTACTGACATGGTGGTACTTGTTTGCAAAAAAATAAGGGGACAACCATCGACCGATGGTGATCTGGTATTCCAAGGATTTCTTGCACCATGGTCAGATCAAAATTTACAGAGGAACTATAAAAGCCTTGAAGGCAAACACTAGAGGAATAGGAAGAAGAAGGGCCAATCTCCAGCGTCATGTACTCGTAATAGAGACTCATGAATCTTGTTTGAGGATTTCTGTCGAGCAGCTTCTCAAAGTTTTCTATTACCAATGGGTTCATTACTTCACGACGGATAAGCAACCGGAAGGACAGTTCCGCGAAACGATCTGTCGGTGGGAGAACACCCGCGAGTACTTTGAGGATCATCGCATACAGCATTTAAAAAATATAGGCATTAGACCTGTTCATTTTAAACGAAATGTTCGGAATGTAACGGGTCAACCGTGATTACTGTTTGTCATGTTAATTTGAACTTTTGTGCAAATTTTCAGCAAAATCGGTGTTGATTTAGAGGTGCTTCTAGTTAATTTTATGTTTTCAAGGTAATTTACGGCTTATAATATTTGTATCTCGAGACTGAAACAACGAAAGCTGCTGTAACAAGCTTATGTTTTTTTTTTAAATTGTGAAATGTGTTTGGACTGGTCTCACCATGTTAATTTGATCCTCCAATCCATAGGTAATTTTGATTTTCTCTAAGCCTTGCATCTCATTTCGTGATGCACCTTTGTCGTAATACTTCCTTTAACGAACACAAATTGTCTCGCATTGCCATGGTCTCCTGGGAGGAGGTTCGCGTCTAGTGCTTTCCCCAGGAACAGTTCGCGACCACCAACTGCCACCCGTCCAGTCTTGGGCGTATCCAGCGAGGCATCTTTCATATTGCTCGCAATCTCCAACACCGACGAGAGACCAGCAGCCGAGCACTTTTGCAAGCGACAAACTTGCTGATTCACGGTAACGTCGGCCACCGAATCACCACAAAAACTCGCGACGAACACATTATCAACACGTTCGCGGGCTAATTCACCAACCGGACCGATCTCTCAATAGAACTACACGCCGAAAGTGTAGCATCTGAACTCGGCGAACCGGCGAGATGGACCAGCCATGGTCTTAGCCTGTCTGAAAAGACA